AGGAGGAGTCAGAGTCCTCAGTGGTTTTGCAGGCTTTTATTGGGGTTACCAGGTACACGGCAGGCAGGGGTGCTGGGGGGCCCGGAGGCTGGCAGTCCTCCCAGCCCCCAGTAAATCCACACTCTCTCTGGCGTTCTCTGCTTCTGCTTCTGCTTCTTTACTTCTCTCTTGGCTTCTCTTCAGCTTCTGCTGGCTTCCCTGTGACGCCGCCCTTAAAAGCACAGTCTTAGCCCAGATGAATCCCATGTACCTATGCCCACACCCTACTCCAGGTGCCCGCCATCAGGCATGCATTCAGGACCTCAAGGATCCATCATCTATGCTGATGGTGGGAGGGCAGAAAAGCCTGACATTTTCTTTACCCTACAAGAGGTCTGCGCGCCATGAGGGATCCTCGCCAACGGCCAGGGATCGAACCAGTGCCGCAGAGGCCGCAGGCAGCCTCGCGGCCCAGCGCTCAACTGCTGCGCCACCAGGGAGGCCCAACAATCCACTTCTTTAGGCTCTATTACTGATATATTTAAAATCCACTTTGGGGATTTAAAAGACAACTTTTACTTTGCAACAAAGTCTGGCTTTTACAAATAAAACGTGCTGCTATTTTCAGGCTGTTCTTCAGGCTGCAGATATATAAAATTGAGCTTGTAGGTCAAAAATCAATAAAATAACTTTTTCTCACAGGATTGTTATCTACTTTCCCTCAGGCAAAATCTAGCTTTAATTGTAGAAAACTTAACAATTAGGGAAAAATTGTAGAAAGCAATTTTAATTCATTTCAAAATCTTGTGCTACCCTTGGTGTAGTGACTGAATGTGGAGTTAGCAGAGAAGTTTGCAACAAATGAAGTAACTTTTAGTCCAAGATCAGTTCCTTTGTTGTCCTGTTGATTACTGTTTTCCAACTCTTTTTTAAAAAGATTTATTTACTTATGCATGCAAGAACTGGGTGTAAGCCAGAGGTGCTGGTGGTGAGAGGATTTACCAGAGAGAGGGAAACAGAACAGGCAGATGTGCTCAAATACACTGCTGAGGGTGAGACAGGAGAGGTCTGCTGAGCCATGTGTGTAGCTCCCTGGCCTGCTGGGGATCGAACTCGTGATGCAGTGGCTGGTGATAGCTTGATAACGCTGTCTTTAACCCCTTAGCCACGAGGGAGGCTCTGGTTTCAAACTTATAGAAATCACCCTTGCATCTTAGGATAGCAATAAAATGGTTGACAGAAATTATTAGTAGTTCAGCAATCTCTGTTCTTAAAATAATGTACTTCAGGGTTTGCAGTAACAACAGCAGTACCTTCCCCTGCATCCAAATCATAAGTGGAATGGATGGTGAAGCTATTAAGACAAATCTTCATTCTACCCTCCCAAACACATACATTCTGAACATGCTCTTTTATAAATTTTTTTCTTTTAAATCTCATTTTTTAAATGATGTGATTGTTGAATTCCAGTTAAGGTACAGTTGAGAAAAAATAAATTGGAGATACTAATGACTATTGCTTTAGCAAAGATGCATTAGTAGGAGGTTTTAATGCAAGATATTTGGTGTTTTCTTTCTTCCTAAAGGTTTAGGATACATAGCTAGACATTTGAACTCAAACTATGATGAATAATTTTAATTATTCAAATTCACCTGATACATGAATAACAAATAATTGTTTTTAAGGAATTGGTTTAATGTTTAGTTATTGTGCATATGTGGGAGGTGCCCAACATTTTACTTTTTTTTTTTTTTTTTTTTGTATTCTATGTTTAGAATCGCATGCAAATAATTGTTGCTGGTATTTTGTGAAACATTCAGGGTAATGGAAAACTGTCACAGTAGTGGAATCTTGCAAACCTTTCCTAATGCCTTAGTGCTATATTTAATCTTAGTAATTCTAAAGGAACATTGAGTGAATCAACTCTGAAATTCTCAACATAGTAGCTTCACATAGTGTCTGGTTCTTTGCTTCCTTTCATTTTTTTCAGTTATTTTCTTTAGTGTGTAAGTTCATGTCACTTACATTTCCATATCTGACCTTAACTCTGTACTTTTTGAACAAACACTATGTTGCTCAATCTCAGTGAACCACACAAACTCTCTAAGAGAGAAACTTCTATGCAAGAGAGAACCAGAAAGTCCTTGCTATTGTTATCCTCTGTTTTAAATAATAAAAGGAATTTCTGGAGCTGCATATTATTGTTCTATTGAAGAGGTGAATGTTTTTAATCCATTGTTAGTATGCTTTATATATATTTTTTCCTGTGCAGCATTCACTAGGGAAAAAAAAAAACACACATATGTGACAGCTATGATTTCACCTTTAAGTACAAAGAATACAGTTTATTAGATAATCTTCAAGAAATGAATATATTTTCCTTTTATGTCTTTTCATTTTTGTAAGACTTATGAAAACAATTCTGTAATACTAAATGCCTTTAGTGAGTACAGATTAAACATCCATTATATACATACATATAGTGTTTGTTTAAAAAAATACTAACTTACTTGGAAAATAAAAGCTTCTTAATTTGTCATTATAGTGCACATCTGAGGACTTGTAAAAAAACTGATGATTATGATGCCTTCACATTTAAACTTGTATTCAGTTGCAGGGGAAATATGATGGTGATGATACACGTGTGCTTTCTGTTGAAATGGGACCATGTCTGGATTTATTATAGGCCTTAATGACACATTCATAAGTGAATGTGACAAATTAGGTTAAAACTCTAGTAAGTTTATAATGATTTTCAATGTTTAATCTTTTCCTCATGAAAATAATGTGTTTCTGATATGAGTTAAATTCACTAAATTTAAGGGCATAGAAATGTGTTAGTCTATGTACATAAACCATGATTTAGAATTTAGATGAAATACTTTTCTGTTTCCATTTGTGTCTTATAAGAGGGCTTATTTTATTCATTCAAGAAACATTCTTGTTAACAGGTACCATTCATTATACTAGCCATGATACCTCAAGAAATAAGATAAAATCCCTGTATTTATATTTCACAGTGTATTAGAGAGAGAGTTTCATTACTATATCATTAAAACATGAAAAGAAGATACAATGGAAACATAAATTATTTTATGGGGATCCTGAACAATTTTTTTCTTGTTTCTGTTGTTCTAAGTGAGGATAGGTTTGCTGAGGGAGAAGCATTTGACCAGTGTCTTGAAAGAACAGTAGCAGCTGAGCAAGCAAACAAAAAGGCTTGGCACTCTAGGTTAGATTCTAATCTGCTCATGGGAACAGAGTTATGGAAGAACATGTTAGAGATAGGAAATAATAAAATATATCCTATGGGTCCTGCAAAGGTATGATAGACAAAGGTCTAAGAAGGTCACTAGGCACCGTATTCTTTTATTTGGTAGCTCAGATTTTATGTTCCACATGATAGGTGAAATTTATAACACAGCAAAAATGTTGCTTTATAGACACCTACTCTTGGTAGCTTACCTGCAGATACTCAACACAACAATAGCTAACAGTATGACAATGTGTTCTGGGATTACTGAAAACTTACCTATGTGTATTTTTAATACACATAGTTAATATACATTTTTAAGATTGTCTATAAATATTTGGGTGGGAATTGACATGATAAAGCTTGAAGTCAAGCACATTATTTTAATATTCTTTAATTTCTTATAAGTATTATTGCCAAGGCTTTTAATATTGCACATACTTCTTCTGGTCTTCTTATTAATTTGATCTGGAAATACTAACTAAACTCTGTTGTGTTACCCTAACATCCTGATGTCTTCATACTCTAATTGCTCAAAGAGGAAGAAGAAAAGGATATACTCTCTGAACTTAGTTAGCAACTTTCTCTGGAACCCATTTGCTTCAGTGCTTTTAAAGCCTGTGTATGTGTGTGTATGTGTATGTGTGTGTGTGTGTGTATGTGTTTGTGTGTGTGTGTTCACAGACCTAGTGAGGTTGCTTCTTTACAATATAAAAATTATTTATTTTACATTTTTCACTATCCACAAATTTATAAGATTTCTATAATTTTTGAATCTCATTGTAAGTCAATGAACATTAATTGAACATTACATATATATTTATTTTTGTTCTAATCTAGAAGCCTTCCTTAATTTCCACCTATATGTCACTCAAATTTAAAATCTAATATATTGGTTTGAGATCTATAAAAATGAGATTATAAAATAAAATGAGATCTATAAAATAATAATAGATCTATAAAAATTGCTGGTAAAAATATTGAATTCTACGTGTCACAAAATTTTGCTATTAAAGACATAAGCTGATACATGTTTTCATTTTTCCTTCTTTTTTTAAGATTTATTTATTTATGCATACAAGAGCTGAGGTAAAGGCCAGAAATGTGGGGGAGTGAGAGGATTCACCAGAGACACTGGGGAACAAATCAGGCAGATTCACCGAAGTTCACTGCTGAGGGGAACAGCGGGCAAGTCAGGAGAGTTCTGCTGCGCCATGTGGGTTGCTCCCTGGCCTGCCAGGGATCAAACTTGTGCTGCAGAGGCTGCAGACTGCTTCACAGTGTGGTGCTTAACCCCTTGCGCCACCAGGGAGGCCCGAATTTTTGCTTCTTAATTGTCGGTGTCCTCTATACCACGGTGTATTACATCCCATCAGAGGTTAGAAGTTAACACTTAAGGGCCTCCCGGGTGGCGCAGCGGTTGAGCGCTGGGTTGCAAAGCTGCCCGCGGCCTCTGCAGCGCCGGTTCGATCCCTGGCTGCTCCCCGGCCACCGCAGGAGGGTCCCGCATGACAAGCAGACCTCTCCTGCTGCCTGCTGCTCCCCTCAGCAGTGTCCTTCGGTCCTTCGGTCCTTCTGCCTGCTCTGCTCCTCGCCCTGGCACTGGTGAATTCTCTCACCCTCCCGTGCTTCTGACTGTACCCAGAGCTTATATAAATAAATAAACAATTTTTTTTAAAAGAATTAAAAAAAAAAGAAGGTAACACTTAATATGGTAGATTTGTGTGACAAAAAAGCCACAAAACTAATTTGATCTGTTTAATTACAGAAAGCCATATCCTAGAAGATGTCAACAAATGTATCATTGCATTGCGAGACCAGGATGCTGATAATTTAGACCGTGCTGCAGGCGCTATCCGAGGAAGGGCAGCAAGAGTCGCTCACATTGTCACAGGTGAAATGGACAGCTATGAACCTGGTGCTTACACTGAAGGTGTGATGAGAAATGTTAACTTCCTCACAAGAACTGGTAAGTCTCAGTCCCCAGTAGCAGTTGCAGTGTTCCTGGTGTTTGAATCTACATAACTAACAAATACTCATAATTGTGGAAGGATCCCAACCCATGTGGCTTGTTTTGTAATAGAGCATTCTACTTTATGCTTGGTGCTTGCATCTTTCCGTTATGTGATGGAATTTATCTCTAAAAAGTAAATATATCCATTGGGGAAAAGAGGTCTTTTATAAATACATGCATTATATAAATTACCCAAAGGTTGTAGCTCCTTTTGATTGTTTATTAGGACCAGAGCTATTAGGAGATGTAATTAGGCCAATGTGATAGTCTGTAATAGTTTTCAAAATTACTTTAGCTCTATCTTTGGCAGCCTTAGGTTTTTGTTTAAATTATTTAAACAGACTTGTATCTTATTTCCAGAGAAATGCTCTTTACTTTGTTTTGTAGTTTATTTACAACAAACACTTTGTTCTTGCACATGTCTTCGATTTCTTTAGAAATATGGAGCCAGGATTGTAGCAACCAAGTTAATACTTTCTAAAATCAGCTAGTACCTGATTAGTTTTTGAATAACTCAACAAAATGGTTTTCTTATTTTAATGCTAATATTAACATATCTCCAAGACGCTTACCAGTGCTTTTGAGTACATATGATTTGCAAACAGAGGCTATTCGTGAAATGAGAGCAACAAACTATTTTCATAAATCATAATGATAGGAAACCCTTGTGCTCTGTGAGGTCTTCAGGTTGAATTTTTCTTATTAATAATCTCTTGAGGGCCTCCCCTGGTGGCTCAGTCAGTTGAGCGTAGCACTGTGAAACGGTTCACTGTTTCTACAGTATTGGTTCCATCCCGGTCAGCTGGCAAGGGTCCCACATGGTGCAGCAGACCTTTCCTGTCGTGCCTGCTGCTCCCCTCAGCAGTGTATTTCGTCAGTCTACCTGTTCTGTTCCCCGCTCTGTCTCTGGTGAATTCTCTCACCCTCCCGCATCTGGTCTGCACCCCGATTCTTGTATAAATAATAAACAAATAAATCTTTAAAAAAAATCTCTTGACACTAGGGTGAAGATAGATTCATGCTCATAAAATATTTAAAATTTCTTGTTTAAATCATCCTAGAGATTTGTCCTTTATACTATGAATAGGTCATATTCAATTTAGGTGGTGTGTACACTCTTGTGAAATGGTAGAAGAGATGAGGTTGAATAATTTTTTTTGGGGGGGGTTGGCTCATATATTAAGAAACATTACCAATTTAACAACCTTAATTAGGAACTAGTTCTAAAGAGCTAAACATCAGATAAGTTTAGCAAAGTTTATGGAGACTTACTAGTTAATGTCATTGTTGTCCTAGTATGTTGATACAGAAAATCCTTGATAAATGCCAGAAAATAGTTTCCAACACTGAAGGACACACTAAGGAAAGGCAGAGGAAATATATCTGCATATCTTGATATTAAACTTGTATTTCTATATCCATTCATCAAAAGCCACTGATGTCGCAAAATGGCACATGATATTTGCTTTATCAATTAAATATGGGAATACATTTACTTGTTTAAGAAAATGATTATGTTATGGCAATTCGGTATCTCTTCCCCCTCGTTCATTTAAATATTCTTTTCTTGCTGGACAAAATCAAGTACAGAGTTATCTGATTTTATCCAACCTTCTCATAATGAAATATTTGTAATTAAGAGGAGACAGTAGGGGTCCTCTCTTTAGATAAATGAAATCTTCCTGTAGGAAATTGAATACTTAAATTGTCCTAGGACTTTTTCTATATTTTGTCTCTGTCTCAGTATGGTAACATTGGTAAGATCTTGTGAAGCATTCTTATGGTCACACTGTGTTTTTATAGAATCCATATCTGCCGTATGCATAAAAGTATAAGTGAAATTCTAAAGTGTCCTGAATGTGAAGAGTGTTGTGTGAATACTTTGTTCATAATCAGTTCTTATAATCTGATATAGAAAATAAAAAAGAATCAAGTTATTTAACACATTTAATTGCAAACTTGTCAATACATATAAGATTTATACTTATAAGATAACTAATCAATATGGGTAGATTATCCTTCAAACAGAAGAAAAAAAATGTCCTTTTCCTCTAATTAATTTTATACAACTGCAATTAAAATTTCCTAGTAAATTATGTGCTATACTCTAAATATAATAAATATAAAATAATTCTGAGTTATTTTAAGTAGAATATTATTATTATTATAAAATATAGTTTATGTCTCCAATTTTATAATTTTAGTTTTTTTTTTTTTTTTTTTTTTTTTTGGTGGGACCCTCGCCGGCGGCCAGGGAACGAACCAGTGCTGCAGAGGCTGCGGGCAGCCTTGCAGCCTCGTACTCAACCACTGCGCCACTAGGAGGCCCCTAGTTTTTCAGTTTTTTGACTTATCTTTAGAGAAAGCTACTTATTTTATTATATATATCTCACTTCAAACATTTCTCCAAATAACTTTCCCTGAAATATACCAAAAACATGTCCTACTAAAGGGAATTCTAAACAATAAATTAGACAATAAAGCTAACAGATCAGTTTGATCTTAACCAAAACTGAAAAATATGAGCATGTGTATGAAAAATACTTCTAGCTATTCTGTTCCTCAATTAAGTGTCAGAAAGTGTTCATCTTTTTTCACATCTGCTAATAACTTGGACTTATTCACAAATACTCGTAAAATTAATTTATTGGATATGCCATGCTTTGTGTTATGAGGCTGAATAGTTCACAGTTTAACAAGTGACTGGTCTATGTATATGTGTCCTCCCTCCCTCCCCTCCTTCCTCTCTCCCTCTCTACCTTCTTTCCTAGTTCCTTCCTTTCTTTTATATTATCCTTGGGTTGCTTAACCCTGCTTCCTGAAAACTACTTAATTGTATTACTGAGACTTCCTTGTAGTCACAAAATTTGCCTGAAAATATCCTCATCAAAATGAAACCTAAGCCATACTTACTCTAAATCACCAAGAGTGCTTTGAGAACACTGAATTGATTTTAATCAGACTTCGATACTCATTAGTACATTTTCAAGATTTGATGATCTTCTAAGTGTTTCTCAATCTTAGGAAGCAGGGTTGTCCTGTTACATCAGGGATTTTTGTTGTTCATAAATCCTAGCAGTTGGTTTTAAGTGAAATGTAGGCTACATCTGGAATCCTACATTTCATTCAGACAGAGTCATAATATTGTAATCTCCATGTGAAATTCATTATTCTGCCCAGTTCTTCCTTGTTCCTAAACTCCTCTACCTGTCTGGAATTCTTGACAGGGGAGATAAATATATTGGCTTTTATTGTTGTTGTTGTTTAAATAATGAACTTTCTGGATTATACTGTGAAGGTTTAAAAGTTATATTTTTTTTAAATATTTGTTTATTTATGTATACAAGAGCTAGAGTACAGGCTAGAGATGTAAGGGGTGAGAGATGTCATCAGAGACAGAGTGGGAAACAGAACAGGCAGATCTACTGAAATACACTGCTGAGGGGATCAGCGGGCCAGACAGGCAAGGTCTGCTGCGCCATGTGGGTCACCTTCCTGGCCAGGAATCGAACTTGTGCTGCAGTGGCTGCGGATGGCTTCATAGTGCTGCATCTTAACCCCTTGCACCACCAGGGAGGTCTCTAGAAGTCATATTCTTATTATCAATCTTTCATACAAGGTTGGGGATAAAACCCCAGAACAGAAATGTGAATAAATCTAACCATGAGGTCATGAGGTCCTGGTAACATCCACCACTGGTAACTGGATAATGATGGCAGATGAAGAGTCATCTGTCAAGTACACGTATATTCAGGTGCAAAACTGAAGCGTCTATGCCCAATTTTCTCCCTATTAGATTAGAGAAGAATCACAGAGTTGTAATGTTTCTCCTAATGAATATTCCCAAAATTTTGCTTTAAATTTTTACTGTGACCAATTTAACAGACTTTGAGGATGAATTTCATCTAAAAATCACTTTAAAAACTTTAATAACAGTAACTCCTATCAATTCATGTTTTTTTTTACCTGTGAATATCTTTATTCTGTAGCCTGCTTAAAATGTTACTCTCCTTTTGTTGTGCCTCCGTTTTATAACCATAATTGACAGTTAAAATACAAATGCTTAGTTCTTACAGTCTTTGCCCTTTACAGTCTAGAAGAGGTTGAAAATTAGTGGTCCATATAATAGGTCTAACTCAATATGACTCAAGGAATTTTTATGTTTCTACTAGAGTTTTAACCAACATGATTTTATGTCTTAAGAATGTTTCTAGTCCTTAAACATCCAGATTAATGGCATATGTATCAAATGACTGGCACTTATTGGTGTTCTTTTTTTTGAGTCTGGGTCATAGTCTTCACATTAGCCTATCCTTGTCCACTCACTCACATTTTTATGCCCAGTCTTCTTCCCACTTAATTTGCCAAGTTTTGTAGACATTTGAGTTCACCCAAACATGTAGTTCTAATTTTTTTTCTGGTTTTGACCAAAAGGCACCACTACTTCATCTAAGTTGCTGTTTTCAGTTACTTGGATATGCCAAGATTATTGTTGACTTTGGTCTGATCATTCTGTCCCTGTCATCTAGAATATCCTTCCCCTTTTCTTTCACATTGAATTGTATCTGTCTTTCAAGAAATAGTCCGTATCACATGTCCTCTTAAAACATCCTGTTACTTTCTTTGACAATAATGATTTCTTGGTTGCTTTATATATTATAGATTTCAAAGAATCTGCTGCTCAGTTATATAGCTCCTAAGAACTATGTGCTATTGTAGAAATCTTCAAGTATATACTGAAATAGAAATGTCTTTCCTTTAAAAGTAGCATGTAAGCTACAGGAGAAAAGGACACACATATCATTTCTCTTTCTATTGTTCCCAGAAACTACCATAGCATCTTGCATAGTGTTCAATTAAAAGATGACAAAACAACTTTTGAACCAAGCCTCTTTGGCTTTGCTAATTCTATTCCAGCAGTGAAATGACTTTTCTACTGCTCCTCGTAATTATAT